ACGAACACTTTTTTTAATACAAAATTAAAACAATTCCAATAGAAGGTACCTAAATAACATAAATAGCTGCAAATTTATCACAAACTTCAATAAAATATTTAAGCGTATAAGTAGTAATTAAAATCATTTGCTAGCGCAGGCGAAAAAAAATGACGTTGAAAATAAATAACATGTATCGCTATCCATAAAATTCTGTATCGTTTCACGAAATACCTACTGTGTTTTGTGGATGCTATAGTGACCCCACTACATACAGTCAACAGCACGTCAGATAATACAAAACTGTAAATTTTGATTTTAATAAACCTTAATCTATTGCGCGTAGTGTTCAAAATTAATTGTAGAAATTTGACATATTGTGGTTATCTGAGGCACCGTCGGATGTACAACAATAGTCGGTACTTCGAGGCAAATAATTAAAAGTTCTAATGTCAGCGATATGTATCATTTACTTTCAAGGCTCACATACAACTTTGTGTCATTGTCTTTTATTTCGCATGTTTCGCCTAACGAAAGTTTTCTAAATAGACGCTGTTGGTCATCACGTCTAGCGTGTATAGCATAACGAATTAAATAATGTTTTGTCTATATCCAAATGTCACGTTATGGTCGAGAGTAAGATACTGTATGGACGCACCCAAGAAGTACGGATATCTTTACTTTTACTTTATTTAAAATTCTTGGACGTATACGAAAATGTGACATTTCGACGTAAGCAAACTTTTCTCGAGTTCATCACGCTACTCCTGCAGGATAAAATCCCCAAGTAATTGGTAAGTGGTTATCGCGCCTTGTCAAGCTTTCCCACAATATGCTCAGTGACGCATTTTCCTGCGGAAGTTCCCACCCATCACACAAGATGGCGATCAAAGATGGCGCCGACACGCGGCCGCCACGTGCTCGCGCGTGCCCTATGGCGCCCTTTGCGCATTTACTGTTTTTATTGAAAACGCACCTAAATAATGGCAACACCGCCGTTGTTTCACTCTTGAATAAATTAGTTCCGGAGCTGGGGTTAAAACGCTATTGAACTGGTAATTATTAACGCATAAAGCAGTTCGATGTATTTATTGGTTAACCGTACATAATTTCGTATGTTAAAGTACACGCTACAGCGTAGTCAAATATGTTGATTTAACACGGTAATTAAGAAATAACACGATCAATCGTTAATTCGTCATATATATTAATTACTTGTAAACATTATCATATGAAAATTTATTCCTGAGTCCCATTATGTAAATTTAAGACTCATATACATTGCTCAGATTCCAAGATGAGTAGCTAAAGCCCCCGTATTATGGAGTATCTGAGCTAAGGAAAGTACCAAAACACCTGGACAATATAGAAAAGTCACCTTTCTACATTGACTAGACTGGGAATCGAACCACAGATATGGTGACACCTTGACACCTACGACCTCCGTAGCCAAGTGGTTCGCACATTAAATAATTGATTAAATATTATTATGATTTTGTACTATTTAAAACGGATAAATTTTCATGGCTCATGGGCGAGCGAGTTACTTATGGAGAAAAGGAATCCACATGATTTTTCTTTTACTTAAACTTTTAACACATATTTCACCTTATCAATGGTTGAATTTTCCCTAATGCTAAACAATTTTTTTATCAGTTGCCTAAAAATAAAGTTTCATGTTTCCAATTTCAAAACAGAAGGACTTAATTATTATAAACATAAAACCTTTATTTCATCCCCATAATGGGTAAAATTTCTTAGTGAATGTACTGACTAAGATCCTGAGTCTAAAATTCTATAATATACGCCCGAAGATGATGAACCTGTCAGGGCATGATCTTTCAATAGGTTACCTACTATAAGTAGAAATCTGATGACATCAAAAAAAAGTCCAAAGTTTTAATGGATAATAATTTATTGAAACTCTTTTTTTCACCAATATTATATAGGTACATATTATATGCAAAACGTGGCATGCAAAACAACACAAGTCACAGAGATATGAGTATTAAAAATAGGCAGTATGAACTTCAATCTAAAGTTCACTTTAAAAGCAATATGTGGTTGAAAAAATACTGTCATTAAATAAAATATATATTCTTAATGAAGAATGCTTAAAAATCCATTTTGTCCCTGTCACTTTGAGATGGGACTCGAACCCATGACCTTACGCATTCCGGGCGACTGCTCTAACCACTGAGCTGCTCAGGACCTAACAAGACTGATACTTGTTATTATTTCGCTACTACAGAGTGTATTTTTATCACTGTTCAAGGCAATCCACCCAAACAGCCGAAAGAAATATTTTCACAAATATTAAAATTTTTGATAAACTGGCATTCTGTGATGGAACTCGAACCCATGACTTTACGCAATCCTATCTCAAAGTACTAGGGGCCAAATTTGACTTTTTCATTAGGAATATTTTTCAGTGTACTACAATACTTTTTAATCATTTTTCATTAAGTATATTTTTCAGTGTACTACAATATGTAAAATTGATCAAATATAATAAAAATATATATCGTAAAACAACATCAAATAGCAATAAGAAAGTGCAATGACACAAAACGTACAAACTTTTTTTTTTCATTCAATATATTATTTAGGGCCAAACAAGTTACGAACTAAGGCACTGTTTTTTACCATTTGTAAATAATTCTATAATAATCTATATTAATGCTATTTAGTAAAAAATAAAAAGGTTTATCTAAAAATACTCACTAAACCATAACATTATTTTTCCCAAAGCTTCTGTAAAATTCCGATAGTATTGCGTGTCATTGTTTGTAACAAAACAGATGATATAGTGTCACGTAGTTTAGATAAACCTAATTAATTTATAGATAATGAAATTGAGATTTTTATGCACCAGTTTTTTATTATCCTTATTTATTCTTAATGTGTTACAATACGGAACATAATTGAAAAATTTGGCCATTCATTGCAAAAAATAAAAATCAAATATAGAAGAAATAAGTGAATGAAAAAATTATTCCGAAACTTTCGCCTCTTAATTTTTATTTATGTAGGTGGTTTATAAATTGATCACTTACATACTTAAGAAAGGACAAATCTGCAGGCCCTTCTTTACCCATGGTGCAGGGGGTGCAATGCACCAGGGCGCCGCACGTTGGGTGGCGCCGCGACGATGATGGTCTAATCTTGTAGTATCTACTCATCGATGACTTCAGTAATGACTTCGGTGATTTTTTATATATAAATATGCAAAAGAAAATTCTAAACCTCTTCTTGCACCCGGGCGCCTGTTGTGCTTAAGACGGGCCTGCAAATCAGGCAGCATAGCAAACTTCGAAATCATCGCTAAGTACATATACCTATTTTATATGTTTATCGTGCCACTTTTAATTCACGGTAGCTTTTATTTCAAGACTAATCTTTTACAGTGTTATTATATTAATAAACAGGGTTTGGCGATAGAGTAAATTTACGCTGATACCGCACTTAGTATTAGTCATAATTTATATTATTAAACAGAGACTTTGGATAAGTTACCCTAGTACGAGTTTCTACGGGACTAATATTTACTTCTAGATAGTTTGCTTATTCTCTGTATAATATGAATTTGGACTAATAGTAAAATTACAATTTTAGCGTCAATTTACTCTGACGTTAAACCTTGTTTATTAATAGCACTGTTAGTGTATTGCCGATTGATTAAAAAATATCGAAGCTTTCAGTTTTCCATTAGCTAATATAGTGTATTATTTATTTTAGATCAAATGAACGGTACGCTATCGTAACAATAAAACAAGTAATCACTGTATTAATAAACTACCTATATGAATTACCATTGATTATATTGCGATATTAAACAATACATTTTCCTTATGGGCATTGAAAAAAGCCGCTGCGAATGGCGCAATCAGGTATTCAAAATTAGAGATATTAATAATCGTAAGTTTATCTCAGGTAGCTTCAAATGGAACACATTCGATGAAAAAACCTGCACAAACCCTTACCAAGTAAAACAAGATAAATTAATTTCCGAGACGCGTGTCGTTCCAATCATAGACAATAAATTCCAACCACAAATAAATCCTTATTTATCACAAATAAAAGAGTTACACTATGATTACACTTAAAGAGTTGAGAGTGTAGAAGATCGTAGAGTAATAATGCAAATTGTTGAATTGTTTTTGTTACCCTCAAACATCGAAATCTCTCATTGAGCAAAAAATAGTTCACAACCCGTTGAGGTCACAGTAAAATATCCACATAGCAAAATTTGCGTTATGACGCTGATGGAAACGCTCACAACGCGTTGTGGCATTCGTAGAATAACGACGTTGTGAAATCCGTGTCGTGGCTGTCATGCTATTTGACTACAACGCGATGTGAATGAAGATAAACCAATGCAGGGTATTGGACCATATTTGAGTAGGTTAGGTTAGAGTATGACAAACAACGCACGAGCCGGCCTAAAAAGTGCCAGAATGAGTCACTATTGTAAAATGAAACAACTAGTTTTAGTTAAAATGACTCAGCACGCATCTTGGCTTTTCTTCATTGCCACACGTTGAAGTCGAATAGCATATCAACCACGAAACGGACTGCGTTGTGGTTATTCTGCGATTGCCACAACGCGTTGTGTACAATTTTTTTTCGATTCCGATCTTTCACCGTAACATGTATATTTCGTCGTAAGTATTGACGCATTGTACCTTTTGTCACGCAAACTTTTGTACCGACCAGCCCCTCGAATAGCTCGAGTATTCCCCCTTATAACCATTATGGGTCATATTAGTGTTATTAGGTGCGGTTATTTAGTTCAATTTAGTAGCACTAATTGTTTCTTTAAAACTGGTTAAAATATAATTTCCAAACAATTATTAAACCAGGATCGTCTGAAAACGAAATACCAATGAAATTAATCAGTGGTTTAATTATTTTTTTTTTATGATCACCAAATAATACTCGTAAATTAATAATTATACTTTGAGAAATGTTATCGCAAACTAAAAAAAATCTTGTTTCTCAATAAAATAAACAACACATTTCAGCAATTTGCATTTATTTAGGTACATAAATTATTACATTTTTTATTCTTGTTTTACGGTGTAATAAATATTAGTTATCTTTTGGTATGCAACTTAAACGTTAGTGAAATAAATTAAATCAGTCTATCCTAAGGTGAGGTGGGTGATTAGTACAGTTATAATGGAACATAAATAAAAACAGGATTCAAACTTATTTGATATAAAGCAATCATAAAAAATGGTTTTATTGACCAATAATTAGAGAAACAAAATATAATCACATGTTATCTTATTATTTGTTCGTAGCTTTATAATTTAAAGTATCAAACTTTTACCCGAATTTACATCATGAAACTAATTTCGGGACATGTGAAACTACTCTCGTAACGGTGTGCATTCACGGTTAACAACATCGAAGTTTTACTACGTGTAGATTATGTCACGATATTAGTTTTGTAATTTAAGTTGAGGTGAAATTAGTTGCTTAAAACTAGTTTCATCAAAAATATGCGCATCACACCAAACTACTTTATTCTCGTGAAACTAAAGCTTGCACTGTGAAAGTGAACGTTTACACGTGCAATTTCTAGCAATTAATACAATGAAACTAGTTTCATGCACCTAGTAACTTTCGTAATGTAAATTCGGTTTAAGGTAGCAGGAACGGAGATGTGAGACACGACTTCTCTATTTCTAGTCTAAGATTTTAGGCGATAAAAAAGATGGCGTGCTATAAAATGCAAATGAATAATTGTGCATGTGTTCAATGTTACTTGACAAACTTGAAATGATTTAATTACTAATGGTGTTGCTTGAAATTTTTAATATATGAATAAAAAATAAAAAAACTAAAACAATAACATTTATTGAAATGTGTAGATCCCTGACCTCCAAAATACCAATATGATAAAATATTACTTAACTCACATAAATATAAAACACAGCAAACATAAATTTTAAAATATCAATCGAATTTACATTTTAGTCTATAAATAAATAATCGTATACTACTAATTATTCGACATATTTGTTCTGTGTGTACTGAATTGAATCGCCAAAATTAATATACATTTAGAAATACACTTACTTAAAGCTTCCTATTGTTTACTGACAGAGGTGCTCATGAATTTTGTATGCAACTGTCGATTTTACTATAACAAGAACTGTCGGTTTTTGAGATTGCGTAGGGAAATTTTAAAGTTTTGATTAGTTTGACGTATAGTTGATTGTAATACATCTTTAATTAAATAAAATAAATAACCCAGAAAATCTCACAGCTGATCTCATCTCAAACCATATCAAGCTACTTAGAAGACAAAAATGTTTAAAATATACCAAAGTATAAACAAATATTTGTGAAGAAAACACAATCCCCTGAGGTGTCAAAAGCGAATTGGTCGAAAATTGCAAATGTCAATATAACCCGTTTAATAAACAAGACGCTTTGACGTGTATGTACATTCGCGTACAAATAGTATCTACTATCAAAGCTTAAAAACACGTCGACGGTTGATCTTCTTCAAGTTGCGCTAAATCCCACACGGTGACAATATCAATTATTTAGTGCATTCCAATTATTGTGGGTACGCGTATGTGGGAGTATAATGTAATAACAAATGTAAGTCTCACACAGGACGATAAAGTATGGAGCATTATTACAACAAAAGTAACTAAACACACGCTTAATAAATATGCCAGTCCTGGCGGACGTGTCCCAAGCGAATGTATGGAGACTTGGTAGATATGCTTTTTACCTCGCTCACTATTCACGATTGTTCTTTCTAGGCGTGAAAAAACTGTATTGTACTATGGGAACTGCAAATATTGATGGTACTATAGGTATAATATGTAAGTATGTAACAGTATCAAAATATATCACGGGCTTATTTATTAGAAAATTACCAAATTATGAGATTCTATTTTTCCACTACCAAGCATGACGCATTTATATGATTGAGATCTAATATATTTCATCCAATCAAATTTCCTAGAATCCAGGTGAATCTTTTTTGATGATCATATGTTAGAATTAAGAAGAAATATTAAGTAACAGACGTTCGTGAACTAATGGTTTTGGATATACTAATGTGGATTTACTAGCTTGAAACTATTTTTTACATAAAAATACATCATTAAATACAATTAGTTAAGTTTATAAGCATAACAGTATTTATGGTTTATACTTATGAAACTGGTTAACACTACGAACCTTTGGTTCGATGTGTATGACTTAGTACCTACATATAATTCAGTTTCTTTTGTTTATATATTGTAAAAATTAAACTCTGAAGTCGCAAAACAGTTAGCACCTGTAAATTAATGTTATATTAAGACTAAAACAAAAGTTGTGACGTGTGAAGTAGATGTTTTCAAATAATAAATTAATAAAAAGGTAAGGCAAATCAATTTGTGATTTTTGCCTCGCAAATTAATCAGATCGGAACGCGAAGAATTAGGTGAAATAAAGGAATTCTTTGTATGAAAACATAATGAACCATCGCACATAAATACGCGCCGAAACGTCAGAATTCCACTGTCACCTGTCATTCATATGTAAGGTGTAAAGAAAATTCGATTCATAAGTCTCCTTAGGATTTCTTAGATCTTTAATGTTAACGAAGAAATCCCATCTCAGAGTACCAGGGACAAAGTGGTTTTGTTAGCATTTTTTACTTAGAATATTTTCCAGTATAGCATTTTGAATGCAAAATATAGTAAAGATTTTAGTTCAAGAAATAATCATAACAGTCAGATGAACTTTCTTATTGATTTGAAATAGTGACTGATTTGTTTACTCAAAGTATTTTTGTGGCGATTGTACACATATGAAAATATAGGTAATGAACCGATTATTGCTGTTGGTGTAAAATTTCACTAACGCTATTTAAAAGCTAATGTCATAAATTATTGACTAAATTATGATGTAAATTCGTTATGAAACAAATTAAGTTTGAGTACTATTATATACATGAGTAGTTAGTAGAAGTGAAGAATTTACACAAGCACTTAAATAAACTATATAATCGTGCTTTATAACGATTCCAATAAACATAAAATTTACAGTTTGATTCCGTCAGAAGTATTACTTACATTACCTAACTATTAACCGTCTTTATATTTCAGTGAACTTACATGTAAATTTTTATTTGTTGCAACCCTTTGAATTAGTTCTTAAAATAGTGCCTGTGAAGTGGGTTTAGTTTTTTTGATTATTTATGAAATAATGATGTGAACTATAATTTACGACTTTTGGTTTTAATTTAATTAACAATCAAAAAATATAATCCAAAAGTCACAGTGCCATTTTCTTCTTAATAAAACATTATCGTGAGCCACACTTGAGTTATTTAATATTTAAAATTATTTTCATCACTGATTGTTATTAATTAAAAAACAATAGATGAGTTTCTATTTTTTGAGTATTTCTTTTTAAATTTCAAATAAAAAAAAATCCTAAAACACTTTACACAGCGCAGTCCAGAGCAAGTCGGCGGCCATAGACAAGGCCAGATAGCGGATATCCGTTCGCTACAAATCTGTGACCGGACCAAAGACAACTGTGGAGTTGTTCGACGAGTTGACGCTGGTCCTGCGCAGGCGGCCATCTTGTTCAGGATCGCTCGGCAGCGAGTCGGGGCCGTTAGTGATTTGCAAGCCGTTGAATTTGGAACGCAGCTGAGTGACTAGTCGTTCTAACCTGGAAGGTTATCTAGAATTATAAATATGTGCGAATCTATTTTATGTTCGAATGAATTGTTGGTCACAGAAAACACTACTTGTCTAAGAACGAAAAATCGGGAAATTCTAATCATTCTTATAATTTATTGAAATCCTCTTTTTCACTTGTTAACACAGTGATTTTGATAAAATAAAAACCTTACCTTATTAAAAACATTACCCTTTGGGTACCGAAACCTAAAAAAGCGACGTTAAGCTAATAAAATTAAGATTTATTAAACCGCAGTTTAGTGGCTTTCCCTTCAGTCCGTATTTACGACTTGGGTCAAATAATAAGGAATTGATTCATTTAATTCGAGTTATTTCTTTTTTTTTTGATGTAATTTGTGCAAGTAAGATCTATATCTATCGCTAGGAATTCTATGCTAGTGTTTGAATGCAATTGGGTAGGAGAGGCCTTTCCACTGAGTGCATTGGGATGCAACTTAATTGTTGGGGCAGAGAAAGTTTCTGAAATGCCAACATCGAGTTGGAAAAAAGTAAGGGACAGACCTGGGAAGAGAAACACACCTTACGCTTATTTATATAGGAACAGGAGTAACCTGTGGTCCACCAGTAGGGATCATAATCGTATATTCCCATTCCATCACCACTCACCAACTTACTTGTAAGCGTGATCCTCGGCGGAAATCTTGGCGCGGCGCGTCTCCGCCAGTTCCTTGCGCAGGCGCACGCGTTCAGCTTCAGAGTCTTCCGTGCTTCCGTTCGTTGTTTTACTGTCGTTATTGTCCAATCTATTTCATGAACAAAATAATAAAATCATTAAAATCGTTGAGAATTTAGGAATCACTTCTATTTGGTTTTTTATGTTAAGTACCAGGATGACCGGTAAATAACACCTAATTAGATCGTTTTATGTTCTCCGAAACCCTTGCATATCATGAATTTTTTTGAAGCAACTGCCCCAGTTTCCGAGATAAATTATATACCGCCAGGCGATTCGCCAGCGTGATCCTATATTATACATATAAATCTTCCTCTTTAATCACTCTGTATATTTATGAAAACCGAATTAAAAGGTCTTAGCGCACAGGCAGCGGGAAGCCACTTTACAAGAATTGCTCGTTGAAAGGTATTATATTATCTCAAGCTTTGTTCACGTTAAGTAGTTGGTCGGGACCAATCTGCAGTCATTAACGACCACCCATCCGCACAGGGCCCGCTTAGTGGGTTATGGATAGTGGGTATGGTCTATCTATTTAATTAGGGAAACCGTTCCCAGCAGTAGTGACATCATCAGGTTGATGATCAGATCACGTCAGACTGAAAGGGTGGGAGTAAGCCTCCGGTGACGGAGGAGTCCCACGCCCTACCCGTCGCTCGCTCGATGGCAGGGCCTGTGTTTAAAGTATTTCCCCGACGCATTAAATAAAGGTTGAGTAGGCGGGGGCCCACTTTTTTACAAAGAAGTGCGCAGTTGCTCTACAAAGAAATGTGCATGTTCCTGTTTATAGAGAAACGTTATGGTTTATTTATATGTGGTTCTACTTTTTAGAATCATTTTTTAATTTAAATCAGTAAAATCATTTTGAAAACTGAAACTTAATCCCAAGTTTAGTACATAAACAATATTCACATTGAGTGCAGACACGAAACATATTTATAGAGGACGAGCATTTGTATATAATTTAGTACAGTATACTCTATGCATCATCTATATTTCTCTCTATTAAAACATAAAATTAAAGTCACAAACCCATTGGCTACTCGGAGGAGTCGAAATTCGTCTTCTAGTTTGGTGATGCGATCCATAATAGTACGCCTATCAGCTTCCGACGCTCGCAGACCATTCTACAACCAAGGAAACGTCGCGTATAGTGAACAGGACATCAGGTTACTATTAAAGGGTAAACTCCAAACGTCTTATTATAAAACGAGGACCAAATTTGGTACCAGATCCGAACCTGAATTCGAATTCACTCGGGTGTCGAAATTCACTTCAAAAGCGTCATCCGCTTAACTTTGAATTGTTAATAAAGTTTCGTGGCATAAGTGAAGTGAGTTTCGAAGTTACATAGTGATAGAATATCTGAGACACGTCTAATTAATCAATTTTATTTTTATACAAGAAGTGGAATCAACAGAATTTATACACTAACAGTGCTATTAATAAATAAGGTTAAACGTCGGATTAAATTTAGGTCAAAATTGAAATTTTAGTATTAGTCCAAAGTCATATTATGCAGAGAATAAGCAAACCTACTACCGTAACAATGAGTATATATTACTCCCGTAGAAATTAGTATTATGTTAACCTTTGCTAAGTCTCTGTTTAATAATATGAATTTTGACTAATAAATACTAAGTGCAGTCTCAGCGTAAATTTACTCCAACGCTGAACATTGCTTATTAATAACACTATTAATAACGTAAACTCGGACACATGAGTGAATTCGAATTTGGATTCCGATTTTTCCGGAATTACTCCCCAGGTTCTTACAATTATCCGACCAAAATAAGTCAACACGCCTCAACTTGTCGTTAACTCTTCTGTCATTGTCAATTTGGTTTAGTTGACCATGCTTTAAAAAGAGTACTAACTTTAAAACTTTCTTCGTTTTTTAAAACTCAAGACGGCACGTAAACCAAAAATCACTAACTTTCAATTGGTTTTATGTGCACGGCTGCGCATAGATTACAACAATATGCCAAATTTCTTCAATTAAACTTTACTAAAATTAAGTGGAGAAATCCGACAAATTTGTATAAAATAACACGTTGTTGACTATACAAAGAAAAAATATCTAAATAATTTGTCATTGAAAATAAGAAAACTGCATCATATTTGTAAATGTCAATATTACAACATAAACGATAAAGTAGAGAGCAAAACTAAATCAGATTTATATTTAATTAAAAATGAAAAACTAGCTTAAAACTTCATATCCTGACACGGATATAATTACAATGACAATTTGATTCGTAAACAATGGTTTTTGAGGTGACGTTCTAATTCCCTATACAAATTTTCATCCCTTTATTAGTTGCTTTTGGGATAAAATATAACCTATGTTCACCGCATGATGTAGCTTCCTGTAGGTGATTTTTTTTAAATCGGCCCCGTAGGTTCGGGGCCTATTCGATCCAAACAATCAAATCTTTCCTCTATATAATTTTAGTATAGAAGTACAAGTATATTTGTGTTTTCTATCGTATATAAAATGACGTGTACTTGAATATTTTCAGTTTTTTAGATTTTATTTAAAACGTTAATCTTAAAAAATCCACTTTGCCTAAAGCAGTCACCCGGATTGCGTAAGCCACTGAGCTACCCAGGACCTTATTTTTGACGCTGAGAAATGTGTTACGCATACCCGCTACACCCAGCGCGGGCTTCACGGGTTTTGTGGGACTCCTCCTGTGGCTCCACCCCCAAAGGGGCTAGACAAGAAACAGGAGTTTATCCACTAAAACTCAGCGATGTCCCTCGCATGAAAGGCGATGCACGGGATCGACCCGGAGGCCATACACCGCGCGGGAGCTACCCAGGACCTAATAGGACTGACGAATTTTTCAAGCACTTGTTACTTTTTCGCTACTACAGAGAGTATTTTCATCAATGTTCAGGCAATCAACCCAAACGGCCGAAAGTTTTTTTTTTACAAATATTTAAACTTTCGATAAAGATGAAAATATTGTATGTTCTTATTATTATATTTATGTAAGGGACAAAGTGGGTTTTATAAGCACTAAGAATATTATTCAGTATAGCATTGTGAATATAAAATTGATCAAATCAAAATTGTTATTTAAGTACATATATACTTAAATAACAATCAACATAATCTTTATAAATAATATTAGATTAATTAATTACAATGACACATCAAATAGTACACAATCGTTGCTATGGTAATTCGATACCCTATAAAACTTCCACTCCTTATTTCATCCCTATAAGTAATTGTTGTCGCTATTCAAATATCAATTTTCATCGATGTAGGTCCAAAAATAAAGAAGTATTTAGTATTACCATACAAAAGTTTAACCGTTTTTAAATTTCTAAAAAACCGTTATAACAAGAATGTACCCTCCAAATTTCAAATCTATCTATATATAGGCTGTGAGTTGTCTGTCAATCAGTAGGTCAGGACATCTCCTTTTATATTTGTATAGATGATAAATTAATAACAAATGATTAAGATTTTAACGTTTAGCCTTTAACCTTTTGCCATTTAATAATTTTATACTATATGATATACTAAATTTTTAAACTAATGGCGTCTTAGGAAATGAATGATGATAAATATAATTAACCGAATAACTATTGTCAATACTTGTTATTTTACGTTCCAGTATCAGAATCTGTCTCAAAAAGAAATGTAATTATTACGAAACGCCATTATTACGTTAACGTTACATTAACAGACTTTAGTTTCGCCCCAGGCAAAAGACCTCTGAGGTCTAAAAAAAACCTCGTTTTCGCGCGACCTCGCCCCTGTTAATTGATTGAGCCTATGAAGATTGAATGAGCCTATGTATTTATAAATATTTCACCTACGGGAACCTACATCATACGCCCCCTGCGTATGATGTAGGTTCCCGTAGGTGAAATATTTTTTCTATAGGTCTAGTCAAATTTTCGTCTTTATAAGTATATAGAAAGTGAATATACACTTTTTTGCACTGCATGTTGTGCTACTGAAGTTTTAACATCCAAAATAAATGTATTACAATATCCAATTCTAAAATATTTAGATTTTATATTTTTCATCTGGTAGGTTTTATTAACTTAATAATAGAATAATAGTAGTTCATACTAATTTGCAAATGTATTATAAACGTCTTGTTAAAGGAAGCTTTAAAAAGATTTAATAATGTCAATATTAGCTTGTCCGATTCCATTGGTAGTGTCTGATTTCCATATTACATGTTTATCTTAAGATAATATTAATAAGACATTAGTTTGTATTAATCTACCTAATTATAAACTTAATGTATGTGATGTTGTATAATATTACTGTGAATTGTTCGACGGAGCAATAAATATTATAATAAGTTAGATAACTATAAATGAATTAGAGAAACTAAATGCATATTTGTTTGAAGCCGAAAATATGTAATATTGGGTTTTGATAATATAGTATAATTTAATGCGAATGCTATTATTTTTCTTTCATGATTTAACCCAACAACTAATTACGAAAAATTAATAAAAAAATAGACATCATAAAATTACTAAAGAAAGAAAATGTCATCCTTCTTGTTTTATTAAAAGAAAATAAATAGGACAAGTTGTAAAGCAACCCTAGTCTTAGGCGTACTAGTCTATGCGACGCGCTGCAGCTAAGGGTGTTGTGACAACGTATCTCTTAATGTATTCTGGGACACGGCTGCTGACCGCACGGGTCGTTAAAACACTATGCGTTTGACGTAGCGGAATTATGACGAACACCAGTGTAGATATGGCACATTCTGACATCTATAGGGCGTATTCTTGCTCAAATATTGAGGTGTGCAAACTTGTTCTAAAGATCTTTCAAGTTTGCAGTCTTAATTTTGAATATTAAGCTTCTGGGCTCAACTGTGCGAAACACAATTGGTGTTGGCTGGAAAGTTTTCATCGTTGATTCATTGGACAGATGCTGGGATGCAGGTTCTCATAGTGGGAGGACCGGTCATAATACATAGAAGTGATTGCACGTTAATTACTACAGATGCAGCTGGAATCAACTCAGCAGAGCTCAAGATAATGCAATTTTGTAAACAGTAGCTGATTTTAAATACCTTATGTTATTATGTAATATTTTTAAGTTCTTCAAAACCAAAAGTACATTTAATTTGCATGATTTCACCAATGTTTGTGGATAAAATCAAAAGGCAACATACAACATAGCACCAGGCCGACTGGCAAACATCAACAGCAACATTTACTCTGCAAATTCATCTGTGGAGAGCGATAACCAGCTACCGCAGACCCGTCGAGTAGTTTAAACCCACCCTTTTTTAATCACGATCCGCGCGTAATGAGGAGGAGGCGGGAGATTATCTTACGATGGAACTGTGGAGACGACGATGAAGCTATTTTACTATCGGTCCAAGTTGCGCGTGACAGAGATTCATTCATATAATCGTTTCTATATAGTAAACGGAAAATTATGAAATACGCCTAGAGATAAATATAAAACTCTTCGCCAAACACTTCACTTAAGAACGAGAGAAACTCATTTTCTGTAAGAATTTTTGGTAAGCCTTCTCCATGTATAGAGTGGTATACGAAGTATGAAACATAATGCCTGCTGACACGTCGGTACCAATCGTTTAACGTGGCTTTCAAATCACCTTAGAGCTCCGCTTCTAGTCTACACAAAATACGGAAGAGCTCAAGATGACAATTATTGATCCGAAAACAGACCATTAAGTCGTAATCTATCGCCATCACAGACTCAATACTATGACGACTGAGTTATCTAGTTCTTCGTATATAAACCGCTTCAGCTCATAACTTGTGTTATATAATATTTGACGGCGCGTTAAGTAAGATTACACGGCTGAGTCTATATGCGCGCACAAATAGGCAGACAGCGAGCGGGCCGGTTAATTTTGTTTGTTCCGCTCGTTTTGTGTTGTTACTGTGCTGATATGTTAGCTGCCATCCAACAGATACATAAGCTATTGAGACATTTTTAGGGTTCTTTAATAGGTAATCTAGTAAGACCTGAACTCTACTAAGCTTGACGAAACTCTGTGGCAATTCAATGGGGTTTCAAACCTGGTTCCAGCAACTCAATATTAAGATGTGTTACTTAAACCTAGAGAGCTGAAATTAAGCATTGAGATATGTTTTAGTG